TAGCTGCCTCAAACACCTGTGAGCTAAGGACGCTGTAACCTTTAATCAAAATAGTTGTTATATATACAGATCATGGTGAGATGAGGATTGGTCTTTAAATGAGATTGTTTTGTATGAGGGTATTCATAATAAATTGGGAGATATAATCATGTTTCTGAAGTTCAACGTTGAGGACTTCTTGCTGAACCATACTGAATTCAACAATTCTACCTCATAAGGCCTCTTGTAAGCAGCTGGCTATGTAGTCTGGGCAACAGCCCTGCCTTTATTTCAAATTTCAGTACAATCATGCCTCAATTTTCTATTTCTTTGAGCAAGAGACACAAATTTAATCAAGCAAAAATTTAAAAAGCGAAATGTTTAAAAATTAAGAATGTAGCCTTTCATTATCACTCATCATTGCAAGTGGTAGTTTTTGTGCACTTAGAATTCATTTAAGTTCTGTTTTGTTTGTTTTGCTTTGATTTTGCTTCTGAAGCCTCTCTCCTTAAAAATATACACACACAGCCAGTTCTTTTAAAATTTTCTGTGTTTGTATGGAACAAATAGGATGATCAAGTGATCAAAGAACAAAAAAATCAGTCTTAAAATGGTTCTTTTGCAGAAAGTATTGTAGGAACACCTCCATTTAATTTACCCCAAGTAAGTTTAATAGATTTGAAATTTACACTATGCTAAGGCAGAGCCTTTAAACAAGAGCTTCATTCATTCTCAGTCACATTGACTAGTAGGCATAGGTTTATATCTAGAAGTGACAATTAAATCAATTCTAGCAAGACCTCCTCATATATGTTAAACAAATTTCCATTCAAAAGCATTGTCTAGTTAATGTCCTGTACATAAATCTGTAGTAATACCAGTGTGGTAATATACTAAGGGCACAGGAACAAGTTCCATGAGAGTCATATTGTAGCTTTTGTTTGTAATTTTGGGCAAGTGAACTTCAGGTTCTTTATCTCTATAGTGTTATTCTCAAGATTAATGCCCAGCATTAAGTACCCTGAATAAATCACTATTGTGATTGTTAACTTCTTACAGTTTTAATCCCTCATTCGTCCATTCTTTCATTCTTTCATTTATTCATTTCTATTCCCTAAATTGAGTAATGACCACGTCTAGAAGTAAGAAAAGAAAGTTTGATTCATGTTCTTTTTCTGCAATTACCTAAAAATTTAGTTCTTTGAAGCAGTTCAGTGAATTTATCTCCAGTGTTCCTCAGAAAAGTACATTGTGGTTTCCTACACGAATTCTTTCATTTGGTTCCCAATTACTCCTGGAGTACAGTGAATAAGAATGATTGTCTAAGTTATACTTTGATAGGCATTGGAAGGCAAAATTAACTGATGCCCAGGCAGCTGGATGGTCTGTGGGTAGAAGGTGGAGGTGGTACCAGTTTGTTAGACAGGTTTGAGATTTTCATCAAAGTGATGGCTATAACTGCCTCTTTTCAATTTTCATGCACAACCCACAGGCTGACCTTTTGAAGCTTCTTATGATTAAATATGATATTTAATTGAACCAGATTTTACTTGTGTGCACATATTTAGACGGTAGAAGTTGAGATACATGGTTGGTCTGATTTGTATCCCAAATCTCATGACATGAGCTTTGCCATCACCTAAGGATTTTATTTATTTTTTTTAAGAATAAATATTTATTTATTTCAAACTTTGAACTTTAGGTCTCCAGAGGCAAATCCTCTGGAGATTTGAATTGAAGCCAGAAGATTTGAATTGAATCTTAAAGCAACAGAATTACTAATTTAAGACTATCTGGTTCAAAAGAAACACATCAATTTTTCAGATCAAAGTATTTGTACAGGCATTTGAACAATGAAATAGAGTTTCATACATGCCTGGTTATACACAGCAGCATATGTTAGTTGAACACAAATGTCTTATCTCATAATATATGCAGGTTAAGTATTCTAAAATTATATCAATAACAAAAATTTCATTTAAAAAATATAGCACTAAATTATTTGCAGAAATAGAAACACATGACTATTGAACTGGTCTCAAACTATAAAACTGTAGAAATGATCTCAAACCTGGAAAAAGGTCTTATTAGATACCTCATTAGACAATCCAGGCTTAATTCTATTTTGTGATAATCATTGAAAATGAAATTCTCAGGGAAACGTTACGTGATGGTTAATTTTGTGTGTCAGATCAACTGGCTAAAGGATGCCAAGATTACTAGCAAAATATCATTTGTGGGAGTGTCTATTAGAGCATTTCTGGAAGAGATCAGAATTTAGATCAGCATTTAGCCTGAGAAAGAGGATGGACCTCTCTGATGACTGACATGGGTAAGCATCATGATAGCAAATCCATTTCTGTATTACAACACCAGAAGCATGCAAGTGGCTTAAAAGGGACTGAAACAGTTCTCTGTAAGTCACTGAAGCAAGGTCAGTATCACAACCCTTGAGCAAATGGTCAATAGTAGAACATTAGCCAGAACTGAGCAAAGAAGAAAATGTGGGGAGAAAAATTAGGATACGATGGGAAATGTTGAATTTCTAGAGCTAATTTCTAGACGGACAAATGGTATGTTCCATACACAATGGAGAAAAAGATTTTGAGATATAGTGTTAGAAATATTGGCAAGACAGAGAAATTTGACTTTCTGATCACCCACTAGTTTATTAGTATTAGAAACACAATGAAGTGCTTGACTCCACGTCAGGGTATAATGTTTTCACACCTAGATAGTGCTAAAGAAAGAATGATTCTTCACTCTTTTTTGTCATTAAACTGTAAGCAAGCAATAATGTCTAACTGTAACATTATTACATCAGAATTTTATGAAAATAATATTACAATAAATTAGTTGCTTATCTCATAACAATTGTATTGAAAGCTGAGATTTCAAAGGTGATGCCCGTGTCTAAATAGCTACACATTGGAACAATAGCACAAGGTGGGTCACTTCAGCAGATTTCAAGAGTGTGTTTGCCACTCATATTTTTTTCACTACTTTTATTGTAATGTTTCTGTTGTTTTTCCACTGCTTGATGCATTACAGACTCACTTTTAGTATGCATATTTATAATATTCATATTAGTCACTATTAGTCTTCATATGAATTAATAGGAGAGTTTATGAAATGTCTGATTTGTTCTCAAATTCCAAGATTCTTCTAGCATTTAAAGTAGAATATGTACATCAGTAAAAAAACAGCTATTGAGAGGAAATAGGAATTAGGGAATTAAAATCAGAACATAAAACCTTCTAAGGCAAATAATTTAAATGATTCTCAAATAAAATATGTAACATTGAGAAAATTGATAACTTAAAATTATATAGATTGTAGCAGATATTAACAATTTATGGAAGGTTTATATTTTTTAACAATAGAAGACACAATGTCAAATAGGTAAATTGCCTAGCTTTCTGCTCGGTTCAACTTGGTTGATTTGTTAAAACTGATATTGAGGTATGTCCTGTCTGTGTTAAAAGGAGTGACAATTCTTTTTAAGTCTGTTTTAGTTCATGTTATAATATTTCAGGATAATTTTCAAACACATTAGTCTTAATTGCTAAGAGACATTCCTTAGAGTATCTACCAAGTAATTTAGAACTAAGTTAAACTTTAGAAGAACTAAAGAAAAGGCTGAAGTGAAATTAATGTGTTTAAAGACGTATTATTTTCTAATTATATGTAAAGTATTTTACCTTTGGCATGATTCTAACTGGCAAAAATGTGAATTTGAAAATAAGAAATTTCACCTCTCTTGTCTGAATACACAAAAATGTGTAACTATAGATAAAACATCATAAAGCAAAATTTAGTTTTTCATATTGATCAGATGGAGATAGGCTAGTATTTATGTTTTAAACCCCACTACTCTAAGTATATATAACCAAGATTTAAATTCAGTTACTGCTTTTGTTAAAAACGCATTTTATTTTTTTAAATAATAAATATCTATAAAGTGCTAGGTAAGATGCAAAAGGAACATTCAAGCATGGCTTTTACTGTTGGACTGGGTGGTTAACTCCCAATGGAGTTACATGATTCTTTCAATTAGCTTTAGGTTAAATATGTGATTTTCACCATTCCAGTTTATGATAAGCCATAAAGTTGTCTAAATAAGCCATTAATTTTACATGTAGTCTATTTATTTTCTAAAATAAATGAACCAGTAAGAGAAAACTTGATTTGGACAGTCAGTATTACAAATTATACATTAATAAAATATCATTTTATTTACTTGTTAATTTTTAAGCTTTAAATATGTTAAATATATCCTCTCAAACCCTGCTGTCAGAAGAAGTGAATAAATATTGATAGAAACAACTAATTTTCACAATGTACAATTATTAAGGGAGAAGCAAAGAGGGACGTATCACTATTTATATACAAATGTATAAAACGGGAATGATCCAAAAGCTGGTCTCATGATAATTATCTTTCCTTTGGTATCACTGCCATATATACTCACTTTATAAAATAAAACGGAAGGAGAATATGGCTCAGAAAAAATATACTTAGACATGAAAATATTATTCGGGAAGGAAACTAAAGTCTGTTTATTACATCTTCATTAGGAAAGACACGGAATCTTTATTTGCACTAGTTTTTGAGAAAATCTACCACACCGTTTCTAATCCCAGCTTATTTTTAGTTTGGGGGACAGGTGACAGTACAGGGAAAGCATGGTGCTTTACCCGTAAGGGCTCAGTAAGTGACTTATGATTAATAGTTTATTGAAAGCTCATCATAGGTACTAAAACAAAATGACCTAAAGTGCATTTCTTATCGTCAATGGGTCAAAACTATGACATATACAAAAGTAGTACACTCTGTTCTTTTTAAAAAGCTTTTGTCATTCAAGGCAAAAACTGAATAGCAGATCAAATAAATCATATTGTTATATATTCCAACAATGACAAGATAGGCATGAAATTGGTCATTTGGTAGAATACAGATAGTTTTTTTTTTCTTTGAAGAGAATTAAGAAGAGTGCAGGTAAACGTCACTTGAAGGTAATATTAATATCTTTTTCTCTTCTTACATTTTTGGAACTTGTGACTATATTCATTTCCTCTATTGTTTTCCGTGCTACTATCACTATCACTGGTTTGCTTTTGCTTTTTTCGTTTATTCACCTGATAAAGGTCCGAGTCACTTGGCTGCTGATGAGTCCATTCGTATGAGCTGGGTCCAGCTTCTGCGTCTGGAACATGATTTAGTGGGGAAGGCACGGCTGCACTATTAGGCAGGGGAGCTGTCATCTCATAGTAAGGAAGCTGGAGCACTGGATTATATGCATGCCACTACATGGAAACAAACAAACAAACAAACAAACATTCATCCACCAAAACAGATCCAAAAGTTAATGGTAAAATTGAACAGTTTGTCTAATTATACAAGCAGACATGAGTGAAAGAAACTGTGTTTTGGTTTAGGAAGACAGCGACTTCTGTGACTGCAGGGATGTAGGAGTTTCCTTACATGGTCAACATAGAGAGTCAAGGCAGTAAGCAGCTTCCTACAGTATAGATTAGTGCTGTACAACTGAAACATATGCAATCCACCCATGTAGTTTTAAGTCTTCTAGTAGCCAAAATATATAAGTAAAAAAAAAATAGGTATAATTAAATAATGTATTTTATTGCTCTCAATATATCCAAAATATTATCATTTTAATATGTAATATATAATAATTCTTTAAATATTATATTATTTCATATGTCTTTAAAATATGGTATGTGTTTTATACTAGAATTTAGATTACATAAAATTTCTAGGTGAAAAATATATTCATATGCCAAAATTGTTTCAAATATAATTACATTTTTTTCCAATAAATGAACAATATATCTATTTTGTATTTTAATTTAAATTAACTAAAATTAAATAAAACTAAAACCCAGCTCCTGAGGTGCGTCTGTGGCTAATGGCCCCTCTGTTGCACAGCACAGTTACTAACTCTTCAGGTAGACAGATGCTTCCTTTTTAAGAACAAGTTTTTTAACTCAAATTTCTAACTATTCAAAGCAGATTAAAGACTGAGATACCTTGAACTTGTGTCTTTGCCCCTCTCCAATCTCTACGAAGAAATAAAAAATACTGGGAAGAAGGCATTTATGGTTTCAGATGGGAAATGATTGTTTATGAATATTTTACCATAATTAAGAAAAGATATTTTCCAAAAGTTAAAAGTATAATTTATGAGAACATTTCTTATTGTTTACAAATTGAAAATGGATGTTTGAAAAGTCTAAACTTTACACATCTGTTGTTTTTTTGTGTGTGTTTGTCTGTGAAAAGACCATCCGAATCAGAAGATTCTAACTTCCATAGTATCAGAAGATTCTATACTAACAAGCTACCTAATCATGGATTTGTTAATTACCACCCCTGCTTCAGTGTTCTTATAAAATAAGGAGCTAAAAGAAAAAAAACGAAGTTCCCTAATCAAGACCATAATTAAGATTTCTAGGCCAGAACCAATGTTTGAGAGTTTTTGGAAATAATGCAGTTTACTCTCCAATAGAGAACTTTCATGAAGTTTGCCTTTAGTTAAAAAGAGAAATTTATTTAAAAAAAATCCATGTTAAAAAAAAAAAAATCCATGTTCAAAAGCAATCTATTTGGGATTGTTTATATTACATAAAAATGATTTACCAAGTGAAATTACTCAACTGTAAAAACGTTTTCAAAAATAGTTGCATAAATGAACTCTCTACTCAAATTTCAATTCTAGGGTATCGTACCACTGCCATCTGCTCCTTTTCTGTGGAAGCCCCAGCTGTTAGCTGAGGCATTAGGCATGAGATTTAAGATGACCCTATCAGAGGAGAACACCACTGGGGGACAGTGCTGGGGCACCTTGTGCCTTTGTCTCAGGTTTGGATTTTAACACCGAATTTTACAAATAATTTTCATGGTCTCTATAGTCTGCCTCACATTATATACTGAATCAAATGCTTAACAAACTTACCATCTTCTGAAAGAAAAACTCTTCATGTGGTGAAGCAGTATTATTAATTGGAAAAAACGGCATGGGAAAGGAAGATCTGCCCACCATTTCTTCATTCCTTTGAGGAGATAAAAGAAGCAGGAGTAAAATTTTTAAATTCCTATGTACACATGTCCCTTTCTCTTGAGAGAAAATCAAAGCTGTTCACAATTAAAAAGAGAAAGTAAGCTTCTCTGATAACATGCAATTAAGATTAATTAATTACCTTAAACACACACACAAATAATCAGTTATCAGTGCTGATAATGGATGGAGTGGCACAGCAACATACTAATTGTTTAATTACTAAATATTGAACCTCAAAATTTAGAGTCCTATTTGGCTTTCTGATAGGAAGATGTTGGACAATGCTATAATCTGTATAAAAGCAAAGAGCACTTAGATATTAACAGAGCAAATGTCATCAATAATCACTAAGGCTACACTTCAATTTTCTATAGATATAAAAAGTTCAAAAAAGTATAATGATTCATGCATTTTATTTTTAAAAATAAAATGTTTATTTTAAAAATAAAAGTGATTCTCTTTTTAAATAGACTGCGATGTTAAAATGAACACATTTGCTAATGTCTTCAAAATAGTAATAAAACAAAAATCCCTAATTTATGAACCGTAGTATTCCAAAGTTTCACTTATACCTATAATATTTGATTCTGTTACAATACTGACTAGATTCTATAGCCACTCCTCAATAGTGTACTTGCTCCAGAGTACACGCAATTTAGCGCTAACACTACTAAGCCTTAGGATAGGAAGTGTTCCGTGAAATCAACACAGGCAGGAAGAGGCAAAGATGAGGGAAGGAGGAAGGGAGTGGTCAGGTGGACATGCAGGGACCCCACTTATAAGCAGAGAAAGCGTGATCTCAGAAGCCAGCTGAAGCATGAATTCCCTTAAGAAAGAAATTAGGTGTCAGTTCTTACAGAGGAGTAAACTGGGTAAGCGTCAAGGTCACCAAATTGTTGAAAGTTCCTGACTGCATTTTTTAAAAGAGCAGATTCTATGTGACAACACGTTTGAGAAATGAATGGGAAGCAAGGGGGTGCAGGACGAAAGATTCTTCAGTGTGAGGAAGGAAGGAGAAAAATAACTGCCTAATTAGGAGACAGGCTTCAGGGCGATCAGAATACCGTGTGGGGATGAAGTGACAGCAAAGAAACAAGATGAAAGGGGGAGTGAGGTCACCACCTGGGGAAGACAGGACTCAGAGCAGAGGTGGTTGGCTGCTAGGCAGACAGCCGCAGATTCCCTGAATCTGCTATCTTTCCTATGTGAACCTCAGGGTCTGCATAGAGGAATCACTTGGGAATTGTTATCGGTTGATATGTGCCCCCAGAACCCAGCTGTTGAAGTTCTAATTCCTAGCACCTAAAAATGAGAACTTATTTGGAAATAAGGTCCCTGAGGGTGTTAATAGGCAAGACGTGGTCTCACTGCTGCAGATATTCACTGCGGAGGTTGCAGTAATTTACAGTCCCACCAGCAGTACATGTGGGTTTCCTTTATCCACATCCTCCTAAGTGCCCAGTATTTCAAGTATCTTAAATTAATCATAAAATTCAATTCTCATAGTAATCCCTTCAGGTATTATCCTCATTTTTAGGAGATGGGAATGAAAGTATTAAAATAACTTTATCCAGGGTCACATCATTAATAAAATAGAAGAGGTGAGATTAAAATTCAGGCAATCTGACTTAACCACCTACTTTCTTACCCTCTCCTGGTTTCACTGATATATACATGCCTTAGAGAATGAGGATACAGAGCACCCTATGTTTATTTGGGTACGCTACTTATATAGATAAGCCTAGGTATTTGAATGTCCAAAGAGGCCATTCTTCTATGCCTCAGAGCTCTGATATAATCAAAAGGGACAGGAAGTTCAGCTACTATTACTTTAATTGAGAATATTCAGTTCTGTTACAGGAAATAATAAATTGAATGTATGAAACTCATAACAAATGTTTATCATAGACTGAAAGTAAGCTAGTAATCTAGGAGATAGTAATGAAATATTAGGGATAGAGTAAGAAAATAACTTGTGATACATAGGCAAAATTAATGATAATATATTAAATATGTGCAGTAAATAATTACTATCTTATAAGACATGTTAAAGATATACTGATTTAGTAGAAAATACGATGAAACAGAAGGCTGCTACTAATAGATAGAACAGGAAGGAAATAACACGTCCTTGTGATGCGACCTCTGGGCCAACAGTTACGCTTCTCTTCTTGTCTTCATTCTGCCCAAGAAACCCAGAGAAACCCACAGGCACCTGATAGACAAACCAGTAAGCTACTTCTGTGGATAGGTAGTGAGGAAGTGAGTGACCTTAGCTCTAGGAAGTTTCTGTCTGAATGTATAACCTTACCTAAGCTGCAACTCTAGTCCCCATAACCACACTGTCAGCAGTAAAGGCTGATAGAGGGGATGGAGAAACAGGGCACGTGACTGTTAGAGCAACCACAAATCAGCTATGGGTCCTTCTACTCCCCTGCACTCTATCCTAAATGTGCTGACCTAGCCAAAGCTTTCTTCTTGCTTTTCACTGTCTTGTAAATTGATTCAATAAAGGACGTGATTTGACACTTTTTATTCCGTGACCTCTGAGATAGTTTGATAGATAGTGTACTTGAAGGCTACCAAAGCATCAATTCCAAAAAGCAGATTATACAAAATTCTAGAATATTTTGAAAAGTAATAAAAAAGTTCTAAAAAATAGTAAAATAAATAATTGAATCAATAATAGAAGACTTAGTTTCGAGGCTAGCACTTTATCATCCTTGTGATTTTGAGAACTTGTTAACTTTTGCATCTCCATTTATTCAAACATAAAATATAAATAACAGCATTTCTATAACATATCATGAGATCTTGTATGCTTAAATGATTTAATAGCTATGAAAACATAAGGGAATCTATAAATAATTCTATAAATATATTAAGACTAAATTTTAACTGAAAATATTTTCTTTCACTTTTCATGGGCTTAGATAAAAATTATTTCCTTAATTTTATCCTATGTCTACAGAGTAAGGTTTTATAATAGCCCAGAATATATAAAAACTCTTCCTTTTTTTTTTTTTTAGAGACAGAGTCTCAATTTGTTGCCCTTGGTAAGGTGCTGTGGCATCACAGCTCACAGCAACCTCCAGCTCTTGGGCTTAGATGATTCTCTTGCCTCAGCTTGCTGAGTAGCTGGGACCACAGGTGCCTGCCACAAACACCTGGCTATCTTTTTTTGTTGTTGTTGCAGTTTGGCTGGGGCCAGGTTGGAACTTGCCACCCTCAGTATATGAGGCTGGTGCCCTACTCACCTCCCTATAAAAACTCTTCTTAGAACAAGATCATATTTATTTGCTTTACCTTTATGAAAAAAATATTTTTAATTACCTGTAGCTATGTGAATTTATCTTAACACAGCTCTCAAAACTTTGGGTAGCTGGTTCAGAAGAGCGAGAACTCCCTTTAAAAGAAACAGAGTAACATTACTTCATGGCACAATTTTTTCGAGTTCTAACATCAAACCATAAAATGATCCCAAATATTTTAGGATTTAAAATTCCATACTCCTATAAAATATATGCAAATATGTTTGGCTTCTCAAGATGTATTTACAGATTGTTTGCAATACTATAAATGAATGAATTACAATCAAGCTTTGTCCAAAGCAATGACCATATATAAGAATTACATTGACACGGGACTACATATCACACATGCTATTTTATAAACCTATAAACTAAAAATGGCAAGTAATCAGTGTTATTTTTCTCCAGTGTAGTAGGCAGGAGTCTCTAACCTGCATGGAGAAAAGCCAATTCAAACTTACACAGGATGTGTCAAAAATAATACATCTGGCCTATTCCACCAGCCTGTGTGGTTTAACTGGTCAATAAAAAAATGAAACACAAAGAAAATGAACTTTTCCTTCACAAGAAGGCATAGTTTTGTTATTTTATTTGTTAGGGATAGAAAACAAAGAAGTGATAGATCAGCCAGCCTGAACCATTTATGGGAGGCAACATAATAAGAACTGCAAGAATTATTAGATGGCCTCTCTCAGGCCCCTGAAACACGAAAGGGCTACAGTCATAACAGTATAACATTCTCTGGACATTTAATCATAGATGGTCGTTCCAGACATCTGTTCTGAAAGATAACTGAGGCCACTTACTGTCAGGGAGTGTTTCAGCACTAGTAACGGTAACTCTGTAGATGTATTTGGCCATTTTGACTGCTAGAGACTCACACCCAGTGCAAAATGCATAGAATGGTTTCCTCAGAAGGACTAGTATACACACTCTGCCTTCCAAATAGTAGGTATTTGATACCTTCCATTAGTGGCAACAAGAACATCAGCAGATATCCTTGTTATATAAGTGCTAGAGTTGAGTGTCCCTAATTCATTTAGATTTGCCCAATTTATAAGAGCTAATAGCAACCACCACAGCTACTAATTAGATGATACTAAAACAGACTATTTCAAATTTTAATATATAAAAGATGCTAGAGACTTGGAAATTAATTGGCAGTAATAATTAATTATAGAACATTATGAATTAGATATGTTTTAAGACAATTTAACAGTGACCAGAGAGGAACATTTTTTTCCTTGTGTTATACCATACAGAAAACAAGGTGTTTACACCTCTGAGAATAGCAGCAACCATAGAACACTTTGAAGATTCATCAGTGACATGACCTACCAAATCGATACTGTACATTAATTGGTCTTCCATACAAACGAATGCCATTCAGCAACGCTATGGAATATGACACTGATTCTGCGTGTTTAAAGCAGACAAATCCAAAAGACTTCGGCTTTCCTTCTCTGTCTTTACATATAGTCACTTTGGTTAGCGGCCCAGCCTGCAAGAAACTTAAAAAATTATTTTCTCATAAATCCAAATATTTCTCCACATTCAAATAAATCGAATACATTCAATGTTATATTTTAAAAAGTTATCAATAGCTCTATATACCCCCTGCTAAAAATACAGCTTCATAATAATAAATATAATACTTTCTCACATTTAATTTGTATTTTCTGTCTCATCAAAGAAACACATGTGGTGTTAAGAATCCAAATCTTAAAAGAAATAGTAGACTACCCTTCGGTTCGGCATTACAAACCAATTTAGAAAGCCTTTAAACCTAAGATTAAAAGACTACTCTGTCTTCACATACATTAGCAGTGCTGAATTTAAAAAAATAAAGTGAAATGACATACTCACTGTTGGTTAAGTTATCCTCAAAAGGCTAATTCAAGGCTGTGACAATATTAGGTCACAGCTTATATTTTTTCTGTTAAGAAAATTAAAAATGTTTACAAGAGAAACTAAAATTATCATGTACTTTTGATTTCCCAAAGGAAAATGTTCAAGACTTTTAAATAAGTACATTATTCACAAGAGTGAAAAATTAGGAAGGCTGCAGATCTAACAACTGGAGATATTACTCCACGATATACTATTAAATTGGAATAAAATACCATAAATTATAAATATGCAGATTGTATTGACAGAAAAACCTATACTCTGGCATGGAGTATAAAGAAAAAAGCACAGCCAAATATTATAGTAAAGTGTTAATTATAACTAAGAAATCACAGCCATGATAAGGATCAGAGGAAGCACTTACAAAGATTCACAAATGCTGATATAATGGGAAATGGCTCATACTTTGATAATTGATTATTTTTCTTTGTAGAGTTATGATAAATACACAAAAAAATGCTTTTAACCTAAAGAAAAATAGTATCTTAAGATTCTCCTTTCACTCTCTGTGTTCTCCTAGTAACTTGCTCATCTTCCCTTCTGGTTGCAAGGGCCACCTCATCAACAAATCTATTTTTCCCACTTGTGTCTCTTTCATGGGAACTGCCTCCTAGAAACCTCTATGTGATTGTACTTCAAGCTCATCATATTTAGAATTAAATTCATTACTTTTTCTCCCTAAATATGACTTCAATACCTTATTTAAAAGTACAATGATAATAAACCTGATTTTTTCACTTCAAAGTATAATCGTGATTTGAATGAAACTAATAAAAGAATAAAATATACAGTAATAAATGCTGATATTAAACATATGGAATCACAGAGCGAAAGAATACACTGAAGGATTTGAGTTTTGACAAAAATGAATTTAGATACGCAAAAGTACTTTTAAATATAAAATTCAGCAAGAAGCTTTGTTTATAGTGACATTCACTATAGAATCCTAGAGTCTTTAAAACCAGAATGAAATAGTGTGGCAATTCTGAAGTTTTGCTGGGTTTGCTGATTTGGAGGCTTTCTAAAAGATATCCCACTTTAGCAAACCCTTTCTCTCCCTGATCTATTAAGTGAGATTTATATTTTGCATTGGTCAAATAAGGAAATTATTCAAAATGAGAAGGCTAATGTGTATCCACACAACTGATAATAAGCCAGCCCTAACTGACTGGAATAATGGTTTGTATGGAACATCACAACCCCTCAAACTAAATGCCAATGCCATCTCTCCCCCTTCCTGTATTGGGGGTTCGATGTGAAAGAAGCCTTCTGGAGAGAAGTAACCGCAAGTGACTTTACCTGATTCACTTTTTTTTTTTTCAGTAGAGATGGTTAAACTTCAAATGATATTAGGTGAAAAAACAGATGTAGATTAGAGTTGCTAAAAAGGGCACATTTAAAAAGATGGTAAATTAGAAAGACAAACATAAAAGTCTTAAAATCAACTACGTTTTCCAAATTCAGGAAAAAATTATGTCCATGAAAGAAAACTATATTTCCTGGAATCCTCTTGACCTAATTGCGTGTATCTATAATTATCAGAAGGTTGTTTTAATTAAGTTTAGGGACAAAGGTAAGTTTTTTCACAACCCCAAATGAAGATCCCCTTTCACCTCTCAGTCACACTCAATCCAGAACATTCTGTTATGCTATTGTCTCCCTTGGCAGTTTCTCTTACTCTGATAGGGAGAAGTAACTCAATTTCTCTTGATGTTAATATTATCCCCAAGAATAGTACCATTAGGGGTAGCTCCTGTGGCTCAAAGGGGTAGGGTGCTGGCCTCATATACCAGAGGTGGCAGGTTGAAACCCAGCCCCCAGCCAAAAAAAAAAAAAAGAAAAAGAAAAAAAAAAATAGTACTATTAGTAGTAGTTGTAGCAGCAAACACTCAGGGTCAGGCTCAGCTCCGGTTTATCTAGATTAGGTCATTATTCCTTACAACCACATCACTATTAACTCTGATTTGACATTTAGGAAACTGAGGCCCTGAGATATTCATTTACCGGCCCAAAGTCACATTGCTGACCTTAGAAATCGGAACCACTTTTCTACACTGCGTATCCTTCTCTTTGGTAAATTATCCTAAAACGAAATCATTATAATTTGTTTTAAATTTCTCCTTTGAGAAAGATCGAACGTTTTCTCTTAAATTTTTATGCCCAGCACCTTCTTTTGTCTTTGCCTTGTTATTCTGGGTCACTAAATGGTTGGGTAAATAGCTGAATGAAAATATTTCTTTAGCAAGTGAGACCCAGATACATACAATATGTGAGTGTGTTTATAGGACTAAAAAGGATTAATTCCGGAGGTACCAGGTCTCCAAGTTTCCGCAGGTCCCCTTGGTATGAAATAAAAATGCTTAGCCAGGAACCAGTTGGTTACAGTCAGGGTAAACTGACTGCCAAATCTTCTGAAATTTCATTTGTCATGCTAGAATCGAAATACTCTCTGGATGAAAGGACTTGAAGTAATGAGTAACGTTAAAAGAAAATATCTTGAAGGCTCTACTTGTCATTTCGCGGATGTAAACCGTGAAGGGGTCTACTACCTGCAGGGAGACAGTGACAGAGCTGTTTTCTGTTGGTCCCTGCATCCCCAAGGCCCGGGCAGCCTCTGGGAAACCCTTACTCAGGGCTGGGGGTGGGGAGAAACCTTGTCACAGCCCACCGCTAGGACTCTACAATTGGGATGAGGATGGGGCACGCATCCTGTCACTTCACTCCCCAGCAGCTCACCAGGAGACAGGCGCCCCAAGGAGAATCTAAATTCAAAACAAAGCAAAGGATGGGGCGGGAAGGGGGCCGGGTTGCCTGCGGTCCAGGTGCGCCCCGCGGGTCTGGCCGAGCTTCCGACCCCACACGCTCCGTTCCGCCCACCGCCCCCTTCCAACTGACGGTACCTGAAGGAACAGCTCGTAAAGAATTTCTTCTCGCACTCGGGCCTCTAAATTCCCCACAAACACGGTCCTGTCGGCCTCCTCCTGAGCAGGGAACATCCTCTAGTCTAGACTCTAGGTTGGAGGAGGCGACAAGACCCGCCCCTTCGCCCGGTTTTTTTTTTTTTTGCGCGGCGGGGCCGAGGTGGGCAGGGTTGAGGGGGCGGGGCTGGCAACGAGAGCCCAGCGTAGAGGGCGGGGCGAAGCGGTGAGGCCACGCCCTCGTTCCCTCTAGGACCGCCCACCGCGCTGCCGCCCCTGCCAGGTCCGGCTGGAAGGTGGGACTGTGGCTGAGAGTTTTAAAGAAAAGTGCGAAGGGTTTGTCCTTCTGCTTCAGTGAAGTCTTCTATTTTCTCTTGCACCTTATTAATTTACTTTGGATTTATTCAACCAGCATTTTAAATAAACTGATTATAAAGAAAGATGATTCGAAACGTAGTAACTTCATTACAAGAGCTTCCAGGCTAATGAGAGAAGAGTCGTTTCTTTGTCTCCAAAGAATAAATGAATATGTCAATAGGATATCAGATTGCATTATTCATAATTTTCGAAAAAAAATCAATGCATGTACAGATGTGGACACAACAGAGCAGTAGGATGAAAATTTATTTATCTAAGAAGTGCTCCTTAGATGAGTTTTGAAAGTGGCCCACAGACATTTTAGGTGGACTCCAAAATCAGCCCACGCTAGGAAGAGCTGAGCAATTTTGTGCCTGAAGCGGGAATTCCTGAGGATGGCCACTGAAGGCTTGTGATAGGATTCACTGGTTGTACTTTGTTTCAAGGATTTGCCTTGTATTTTGTGTGCTAGGCCAAAAGGTTGCTTCTTAGTTGGGGAGAGATTGTTTTCTAAAATATTAAAAACAATAAAGGTAGTTAAATGAAAGGAGAAAGAAAACTTAGAACCTGAGTACTTCGATAAATCAACTGCCAACTATTAACCTGGCTTCCTTCTTGAAGATATCAAACATCTGCACAGAACCCAGAAATCATGCTATAAATATCATTCAAGTAATCAGGCACTGTTTGGCTTTTAATGTGGCATAGTGATGAAAATTCATTTGGATTGAAGATATATGCTTTTAAATAAGTGGGACAATCCTACCCGAATATCATATTTTATAATGAAAAGGGTCACATCTTAGGAAACCCAATGTTATAATTTAACTCCAACATTACTTAATAATTTTGTAACCATCCCCCCACAAGTTAAAGAAACCAGTCATTAACAGAAATTCTTGGGCTTATAGGATGGCTGATAGGAAAAGAAACAACTTGCTGAAATGCTGAAAGTTTCTCTGCTTGGAAGATAACAAAACTAGCTGAAATCTGTTGGAATCAATATGGTCAACTGGAATCTGCAAATGAGCTTGCTGACATCACAGCCAGAATTTCCACCACATGTTTCATATTAACTCCATCCAAATCTGCATATGTGACCCGTAAGGATTCATGAAGAGGTAACTGGACATGCCCTTGGACTTCCCAGACATCCCCTTTCCTTTAACGAATCATCCAGAATCCACCCTGTAAGCCTTTTCTGATAAATGTACTGTCTTAAAGCTACAACAGAAAGACAGATTTGAGATGGGCTCCTGTCCCCTTGTTGGTCCATTTACAATAAAGCATCTCACTTCCTGAACACCCAATACCATTGTATTGGCTTCTAGTACACTGGGCAGCAAGCCCTTTTCCCTCAGTAACAATTTCTTATTGGAATTCATATTTTGGTTCCTAAGAAATGGATTGAACTAAATATAATTACTTCATTTAACAGGTATTTTCTGAATGTTTACTTTGTGTCAGTCTTTAATTCTTGGAAAAGCAAGATATGTATAAAAATCTGCCCTCCTAAATCTTACAGTCTGTGAGAGACAGACTTTCTGTACATACATATATAATATGTCAGTACCTTCAGCTGATACACAGTGTATCAACCTTCAGTTGCTCTATCATGAATCTAATAGTCCTATCTCCTTTTTCCATCTTTCTTTCTTCTGTCATCAATATGGTTGTAGTAGGGTAGGAAGAGATTAAGGAAACTAGCAAATTTCAGACCAGTGGTATATGTTGATCAAATGTACACTTGCAGGTCTCTGTTATTTATGGATCTCTGATACTTCTTTTTCCATTTGCCTAATAAATCTTAAGTACTCCTTAACTTTCCCTCAAACACAGCTTATCTGGCCGCTAAATCTTCAGGTTTAATGGTAAAATATTCAGTGCATATGTAAGATTGAGCGTGTTAGTTGGGTGTTGTGGCGGGTGCCTGTAGTCCCAGCTACTCCGGAGGCTGAGGCAAGAGAATCTCCTAAGCCCATGAGCTGGAGTTGCTGTGAGCCATGTGATGCCAGCGTACTCTACCAAGGGGGACAAACTGAGACTCTGTCTCTACAAATAAATAAATAAATAAATAATAAGATTGCACATGCTATAAACTTTTTAACTATGCTACATAATTATAAATAATTTATGATCATCTTACAGTGTTGCAGTGAAATTTGCTTCATCCTTTGTCTACATATGGCATGAATTTGGTGTTCTAATGACATGGTCTTCTCTTTTGGTTACACATAATTTTGTGGTTCTTATGAGCCTACTTATTCACTCTTTAAAACTCTGAAAGTCAGATCATGCAGTTGGTTGCTTAGAATATGAAATCAATATATCATTTTTCTAATGGACGCATATTGTTTTTCCTAACTCATGTTAAATGCATTCGTGGTAATAAATCTATGAGTAGCTAAGAAATAATTCACTTTAGTCTCAGCCTTTACTGAACCATTAGTCACTTAGCAGGTTTTAATGGGTTAATACATTGAACACTCTATAAAGAATTAGCCTTTCTTCATTTATGTTAGGAAGTCTTCTACCCCTAACTATAAGAACACATTGGAGATGAAAATGTATACTCACACACATGTGGATGCACATGCACACACACACATTCATATACCCAGAGCTTCTTTACCTCTTTTTCCCTAGCGGACTCTTACTCTTTTGCAGCTCTGCCCAGGCAGCACATTCTTCAATGCTGCCCTGAACTCTGCACTCCAGATTAGCTGGCTAATCTGGCTGGAACCTATGTGGTTCCATAGTTCCCTCAGTACACTTCCATCAAGCTCTTCTCACGGTGAACTAGTATATGGCAAAGATACTTCAGTTCCTAGGACTATCTCGGACATGTCTGTGGGTATCTAATAGTTGCTAAAATTATAAGGTTTGGATAAATGGATGTCTATACTTTGGGGCCAACAACTAAGTCTATTTCTGGAAATCAGCAAATACCTAATGAAATTTGCATAAATGAATGAACAACTGAAAGCAAAAGTAGAGAAGTGAGACAAATTATGGGTAAAGGGCTCGATTGGATGTTTCTTTTTTAAATTTTTTTGAACTGACCTCCCTTTTGTCTTCATGTTTTTTAAGTCTTGTTTTATCTTTCTAAAATTTATTTCATTTTTTAGACAGATTCTCACTCTGTTGTCCTGGGTAGAGTGCCCTGGCACCATAGCTCACAACTTCAGTCTCTTGGGCTCAGACGGTCCTCTTGCCTCAGCCTCTCTAGCAGCTGAGACTATAGGAGCTTCCATGATGCTTGGCCAGTTTTTTCTATTTTTTGTTTTTTTTTTCTGACACAAAGTCTTGCTCTTTAGACCTAGATAGAATGCAGTTGTGCTTTAGCTCACTGCAACCCTCAAACTCTTAGGCTCGAGCTATCCTCCTGCATCAGCCTCCTAAATAGCTATAACTACAGTCACAGTTGTCTGACACAATGCCTGGCTAAAATTTCTATTTTTAGTAGAGTCAGGGTATCACTCTTACTCAGGCTGATCTCTTAACTCCTGGCCTCAAGCAATCTGCCCGCTTTAGCCTCCCAGAGTGCTGGGATTACAGGCATGAGCCACCATTCCCAGTCCTCAATTTATCTTTGTTCTGATTTTTCTCTATCCATACTTTGCCCAAGTAAACATAGCTTTTTATTGTTGCTTTACATGTATTAGATGTTAATGATAAATAAATATTTTTTAAATTAAAAAAATATGAAACTAAAAATTACCAATAGATCACTCATACAGAGATAGCCATTTTTTAGGAAAACTTTCTAGGTTTTGAAATATGCATATATACACATAACACATTTTTCAGGAACATAAAAAGTATTATATATGCTGTTTTTTAGCTTACCCTTTCCGCCTTTAAAACTGTAACGGAGGCTTTCTATACCTATACATAGTGATATATTTACAGCATTAATTTTAATCTACAATATGTACATAATTAGACTAATTCTCCATTGTTAGACATTTATTCATATTGTTTCCATTTTTGGCTTTTATATGAATGCTGAGATGAGCATTCTTGTTTACATATCTTTATGGACATATAAAGAAGTTGGATGTGCATGAAAGTACATTAAATGTTTAATTGCTGAGTCAAAGAGTAAGATTATTGAATATTTTTGACACCTTGCTAAGTTAAGTGAAGGATTTTGACAAAATGTATTGTGATATACTATGACTCTGAGTCTTGTTAGACACAGCTCAACCACTTACTATAATTACCTATAAAGTACTTAGAAGAATGCCCGGTGCATAGAGCTCAGCCATTACTATCACCATGAGCAGTGGCATCTCCTTTGTGTTATTGTTCACATTCTATGCACATCTATAAGCTACTTATAATCATTTTTCACATCCAGGGCAGGTTAATATAAGTAAGGTTTCACTAAACTATTGGCATATTATATAATATTTTGTCATCTTCCAGTATTTTTCTGTTTAAGGCAATAAGCATTGATAACCCTAACATTCTCATGCTAACAGTAATAAAATACCATATAGAATGAAGAAATGTAATTTTATATTTTGAAACCCTGCTATGAATTACACTGCCTGAAATACCAACTTTATATTTTTCAATTTAGCTCTTTAGAAAAGATGAAAAGGATGTGCAGAGTTGTATTATAATGTCAGATCAAAAGCAAAACGAAAAGGATGCATGCATTAAGAAGATGTATTTTTTATTAAGTAAAAAATTGTTAAGAAAAATTTAATACATAAGACACATTTTCTTTCCACATTTTGAAATGTTGTAGTTTATATCTTTGTTAGAGAAGTGCGGTTGATACAGGTAAGTGCTGCGGCAGGACTTAGACTATTTGGTGGTCTTGAAACTAATTATACTGATGAAATCCTTTTAAAAATAAAATTTTACTTAAAATGCCCAGAGATCAAGCAGGTCACATAATAATGGAGTTTCATCAGGAGTTAATTTTTCGTGATTTTTAAATGAATATTATGTTTGTAGATCTTTTGAAACACCTCTCTGGACCTCAGATCCATTTCCCATGATCTATGATTGTAAATTCAACACTGCTGTTAAGCTTGTATCTTTGAGGTTTTATAGACACTTGAATTTTCTTTTTTGGTATTTTTTAATTTATTTTTTATTATTTGGGATTCATTGAAGGTACAAAGAATTAAGTTACGCTAATTGCAGTTGTGAGGTAAAGTCCCTCTTATAATTGTGTCCCACCCCTAAGAAGTGTGCCATACACTGGGACCCCCATCCCTTCCGCCCACCCTTTCCTCCCTCCCTGATTCCTCTACCCTACCCCTTGTAGTAGCTCACCTACTGCCTTCATATTAGAATAGAGTACATTGGATTCTTGCTTCTCCATTCTTGTGATGGATTACTAAGTAGAATGTGTTCCACCTCCATTCAGGTTAATACAAAGCATGTGAAGTTTCCATCTCTGATGGCTGAGTAGTATTCCATATACATATACCAACTGGTTAATCCATTCCTGTGTTGGTGGGCGTTTAGGTTGTTTCCACGTTTTGGTGATTGTAAATTGAGCTGTGATAAACAGTCTGGAGCAAATGTCCTTATGATAAAATGACTGTTTTTTTCTTCTGGGTAGATACTTAGTAATAGGATTGCAGGATCAAATGGGAGATCTAATTTGAGTTCTTTGAGGGTTCTCCATACTTCCTTCCAAAACGGTTATATTAGTTTGCAGTCCCACCAGCAGTGTAAAAGTGTTCCCTTGTCTCCACATCCACGCCAGCATCTGCACCTTTGAGACTTTGTGATGTGGCCATTCTCAACCATCAGGTTGGTTTTGATTTGCATTTCTCTGATGATTAGGGATGGTGAGAATTTTTACAAGTGTTTGTTGGCCATTTATCTGTTTTCTTTAGAAAAGGTTCTGTTCATATTTCTTGCCCACTTATAAGCGGATTGTTTACTCTTTTTCTGTTGATGAATTTGAGTTCTGTGTAGTTTCTAGTTATCAACCCTTTGTCAGATTGAAACCCTGCAAATATCTTTCCCCACTCTGAAGGTTGTCTTTTTGCTTTCCTGGTTGTGCCCTTAGCTGTGCAGAAGATACATGTTAAAGAAATGATGTGTAAAGAAGCTGCACATAAAGAAATCACAACGAAGTAGGCTTCATCCAAGGGATGCAAGGCTGGTTTACTACACTCTAATCCATGAATGTGACACACCACATCAATAGAAGCAAAAACAAACACCACGTGATCCTCTCAATAGATGGCAGAAAAAGCATTGACAAAGCTTAGCATCCTCTTCTAACTAGAACACTTCAGAAAATAGGCATAGGTGGCACATTTCTCAAGCTGATTGAAGGCAAACTATAATGAATCCACAGCTACCATCATGCTAAATGGTGTAAAATGGAAAGCTTTTCCACTTAGAACTGGAACCAGTCAAGGATGTCCACTATCTCCACTTATTCAACATAGTTCTGGAAGTTCTAACCAATGCAATCAGGCAAGAGAAAGCTATAAAGATCATCCAAATGGGGGCAGATCCATTTGATCCATCCAAATTCACCCTTTTTGCTGATGATATGATATTATACTTAGAAAACACCCAGAGACTCAACCACAAAACTCCTAGAAGTCATCAGGGGGACTGAAATTTTCCAGAAACAAATTCAATATTTGAACTTGCAACGCATGTACTTAGAACAACTCTTAATTTTTCTCGCTAACTTAAGCCTACTGTTGGCAGAAAAATAAGAGGACAATTAAGCAAACATATCAGAAGAAAATCTAAAAAATGTTAAAGTGGTTGTCAAATAAAAAGCAAAAATATCCTTTATTTTCTAATTTTAGCCTGAAGAGAGAAGACAAAATTTTGAATTTTAAAATGCCCTCTGTGTTATGATGCCTAGTGACATAAACATGAAAAACCCGTATCTTTGACACTTGACAGGTATGGATTTCATTATTGATTTTATTATAGTACATAAAGACAATGTAGTTTGTAATCAAAATAAAAGTGCCAACTTTTCTGCCTCTTTCTATTTCCAGCTTTTTCTAACATCACATTTTCCTAGAGGCTTTCAATAAACATATTCTTCCTGACCACTTCTGAAATCCTGAGGTTAAAAGGAATAAAGAAAGATATAATTAGCTTTTCTATTCCCTTAAATTCAACTTGTGTAGCTGAAGGTATGTTTGTGACTTACTACAGTCTTTGGCTTAAAATTTCTTCTCAAAACCACAAGCCAAATGGGAAAAACCAAACGACCTCACTTTTTTCAACAAAGAGGGAGGAGCGAAATCAGTGAACTTTTGCAGTAAAACCTGCCAGACTGTGACAATTCTACCAAGGAGAAATCTTAATGAATTACAGACTTTTCTTGTTGGTGAATCTGAGTGATTCTTTTACTTTTATCACATTACAAATGAGAGTCTACATTTTTCTTTGTTTGATGTGCTGGGTAAGATCTGGTAAGCTACTGATTAGTACTTTGAGTTTGAAAAATTGCATATAAAATAGTCAGTATCGTCTGTATTCTGGGATAAAGAATGCTATGACATCATTCTATGAAAAAATATGCTATGATTGTGGATACTAATTATACCAAAAAAATTACTAGGAAGAAAGTTTGCTTGTGTGTTTGTGTAGATGCCTTAGCGTGTCAGGTAAGTTGAAATTTTGTATTATATATTTTACTTTATAGATAACTAACCAGAAAAAATATTTTTAAAGTTGTGACTAGAAACCCTCAAGAGAAAGAATAATTCAGAAACAGAGAAATTAATTCAGTGTTTGTAAATTGTGACAGAAAATACCTTGTTCCAATTTTATTTATTCAAATAGCATGAATGTTGAGGAAAATTCTTATGTGGGTAAATTATCAAGTGCAAAGCAAACCAAGTAACCATATACTACAAGTTTTGTTCTTATTTAGCATACTAAAAAGCAAAACTGGTTTATGGTAATAAAGTAGAACTTTGATTTCCGGCTTTATTGGTTTGTGGTAAAACAATTTGCCAATTTTAGTAGTATAATTTGCTAATTAAGGTAATAAAGTAGAATTACTTGTTCTATTCTATAAATAGAACTCCTTGTTCTACTTTATGATAATAAAACAGTAGCAAATTAAAAATTCAAGATAGTTTTCTTTACAGACTTTGTGGAAGCAGATTATTTACATTATGTTTTAAATGTATTAAACATGTTGAATGAATACTTTAACCTTAAAATATCAACTAGAAATTAACATTATTTCCTATGTTTTCAACTGACTATTTGAGCTAATCTTAAACACAACACTAAAATTTTGTATTTAGATTTAGAATTAGCATGCTAATATGTAGTTTATAATTTATATTTTACTCTTTGGAAGATTGACAGACATTTTGTGTTTGTGTAAGATATAAAAGTGGCACCTTCATTTGAAAGCCAGAGAAATGTAGCCCTATCATTTTGTGTGTCATCTTGATACAGTTTATGATCATTTTAATATCATAGTTTATACTATAAACTTATTTGATAGACTTTCTGAGATTATTATTTTGATTAGTAGTTAGGCAGTTGCCTAAATTTTCAGTCAGGAAAACTGGAACATAATTGCTAAGTATGCTTCTGATTGTTGAATATTTAATTTTACATGATAATGACTAAAATAGAATAGCAGAACTTTTAGATATTGAATGCAGTAAATAGACAAAGAAATGTAAAATTTCAGTGAGTCCCACAATTATTTTTATTCCATGCACACCTTATGCTTTCTCTCATTTTCTTTGATTCCCTACACAATTAATAAATTTTGATGATTTTTAGTAGTTTATTTCATACAAATATGTTTTATTTGATTTGCACATGCTCCTTTCTCCACTAAAGTTCTGATACTTAGGATTTATTTCTAGGAGGGCAAGTCTCATACTTGTCAACATGAAGACCATTGATCATATCTTTTAGAAAAGGCAAAACCTTCTTAATAACTAAGAGTGGTGATGTGTTTTTAAAAATTGTAAATGAAATGAGAGTGGAAATGAGGGTAGCTTAACAAACTATATACAAATAAACAGTGTATCTATATATGTTTATACATATATGTTCAAATTATATATATATATATATATATTTAATCTTAGTATAGTTGATGATCCGAGTAACTGCTTAAAGTGCAACTTTTGTTATTTCTATTATTATTATTATTATTATTTTAGATTTTTTTATTAAATCATAGATGTGTACATTAATGCAACCACGGGGTACAGTGTGGTGTTTTCATATGCATTTTGAAATACTCTCATCAAATTAGTTAATGTGGCCTTCATGTCATTTTCTTAGTTATTGAGTTAAGACATTCATACTCTGCTTTTAGAAAGATTCATTTGTACCCTTGTAGGATAAATCATAGAGGTGACCCCACCAATCACCCTCCCTCCCCCCATACATTCCTCTCACCTCCCCTCTCCCACCCCCTTCCCATATTCTAAGGCTATAATTAGGTTACAACATTCCTACTAAAGCTATAAATTAGTTTCAAAATAGGGCTGTGTACATTGGATACTTTTTATTCCATTCTTGTGATACTTTGCTAAGAAGAACATTTTCCAGTTCCATCCATGTAAACATGAAGGAGGCAAAGTCTCCATCTTTCTTTAGGGCTGCATAATATTCCATGGTGTACATATACCACAACTTATTGATCCATTCATGGGTCTATGGGCACTTGGGCTTCTTCCATGACCTGGTAATTATGAATTGGGCTGCAATAAACATTCTGATGGAACCAGCTAGCTGCAGGAAAACAAGCTCAGGGCTCCCACTGACTGCACATTATGATTTTATTTCTATTATTATTAATGCAAGGATTAGCAAATAGTTTTGTTAAGATCCACATAGTAAATATTTTAGGTCTGTGGGCTATGCCTTCTCTGTTGCATCTGTTTACTGTGCCATTATACCCTGAAAGCAGCTGTTGATAATACATTGACAAATGAGTGCTCCTGTGCTCTAATAAAACTTTATTTATGGACGATAAGATTTGAATTCATTATGATTTTCACACGTGAACAAATATTATTTTAATGATTTAGTTGTTGAAAAACATAAATACCATTCTAAAGCTTGCTGAACTGAATTGACTCATGAGATGTAGTTTGTCAACTTATTTAGGAGTTGAGTGAAGTGAAATACAGAAAAATGGAGTCATTTCTCTAAAATTATGGAACTTGGCCATATGTGAAACTTCAGATAAAAAAAATCTATGTAAGAATTCACCGAGGAATCTTGGGAAAATGTAACTTCTTATCCGTAAAGTGAAGGTGAAACCTAAGATTCTGCAGTTCTTTTGCGTTCTCAGGTGATGCCCATGGGTACCACCACATTTTGAGCAGTAAGGATATGGGAACCTTAGTAGCCTCTTTGTAGAGTAGTTATCTTTCCAGAACCCATGTAATTATGAGCCAACTGCCCTAACAAATAATCATTCTTTTTCTCTAAATTAAATCATTTAATGGGACCAATAATTTATGTATATTGACTCATTAAAATCAGATGCCCACAGCAACTTCATTTATTGTACTAAAGTCTTTTTGGTATATGAACAATGTGAAAGAACATTAAGTTTGCAATCAAAAGACCCATATTCGTGTCTTTCTAACTTGGGTCAATAACTTAACTCCTGTAAGCTTCAGTTTCTTCAATTGTAAATAGAATTAATAATTAGAATATCTTCTCACTGTGAATCTCAAAGGGAATAACACAAATTTGTGATCCGGTACATTGTAAAGCATCATATATATATATGCTATATATTACAGATAAAATGAACTATATAAATTATGAACTATACATAGGAATTTATGTATACAGCATATATATATATATATATAGTTTTCATGATCCTTTTATTTTATTTCATTTTATGTATTTCATTGTTTGATGTTATCTCTAGTTTTTAGAAATATAATTTCTTACTTGTGCACAGTCCTCACCTCATCTAATGAATGTTTTTGTCTAATTATCATATATTTACCTGAATCCTAAATACTCACTTTTAAAAATGTTTCTCTATTGGTGTTAATGATCAATAGGTATGGTGATAAAAATTAAATAGTAATATTAGTTTAATTAGTATTTATTAATTTTTAGGAGGCATAAGCTTACTTCAACAAGTTTTTGAGCTCTTTGAATATTTTACTTTGGGAAATATTGTTTCTATCCTTCACTTTATATTTAATTGTGGTATTGTGGTTTTGCCCCTCATTTATAGCTCTTTATATATATTGGTTCCTGTTCTACCTTATACTGAAATATTTTTATAACGTATATTTTGTTTTTTGGCCTACTTTATAGTGTGTTATATGTACAGAATCTTAAATGTGTGTGCTGTGAAATCTATTGGTCTCATGGTTTCTTTTGTTTTTATGCTAGAAGTTATTCTTTAATCTGAGGTCATGTACATATTGACTGTATTCTTCAAGTTCATATTACTTTACTTTTACATAGAATGTTTTGAAATAACTAAAATCAAATAATCTTCAAAGCATTATTTATTTAAAAATCTTTTACCTTTGACTGTTTTTGATTGCCGTAGAAGTCATGGCTAATACAGTTATTTCTGGGTGCCCCCACTCTGTTTCATTAATCTATCAGTTCTTGATTTAGTTTTGCAGGCCTCTTTTAAACTGATTTGTAATATAAACATAATTTTAATCATGTCTTTTATTATCTTCAAAATTCCATTTATTTTTCTTACACACTTTCTCCCCCTCCCAAGAATCGCATTAAGACTTTAATTCAGCATTTCATCACCCATGTAAACTCACAGGAGCTGGACTGATGCTGTGACATCACCTCTCAATTTCTAGATCATGCTACATCTCAGTGCTTATTCATTCTTCTCCCTTTCTACAAAAGCTTCTTGAGCTTTGTCGTTTTCTTTTATTGAGTAGCTGTAGGCATTTTTTCCTTCCATTTTCTTTGTCATTTCTCCCCTTTTTCTCCTTCTTCTTTCTTCTCTTTCTTCTCCTTCTTCTTCAAAGGACTAGTTAACTTGTAAATGATACGCATCTATTTTAGACTAGCTTGGACAACAACAAAAGAGAGCTTTATTATCTCACAGCTAACTGATTTTTTTTGATCCAATACTGCTGGATTCAAGTAGGAAAAAAACCCAGTAATTTCTTTTTTGTGTGTGTTTCCTTATAGCTTGAGATCTGGAAAGAAAGAAATTATTTTTCTTCCGGCATCAGTATCTCTCCCCAGTCAGCATCAACTCTCCCCAAAAGGTCCTTTATGGACATATTTCGGTTATACACTATCTCATGGTCCAATCTTGGGTCTAGCCTGATTCGGTATCCACATTTACCTGCAATGGAAAGAGTGTATACTTTTCAAGTTGGCCATAAAATATTGATTCAGCTGGGAAGAACTTTCCAAAAGGAAAGATTGTAGATCTAATAAAATTATGAAATACATTTATAGCAAT